TGTTGAGGCTGGCGTAATGGCTATCGGGACGGCGCTCATGGCGAATTTGTGCCAAGCGTTCGGGGTCTATGGTCAAGCCGAACAGCTTGTCTTTATAAGGCAATAAAGCGGGGGGCAATTCATTGCGCCCAAAGTCTTCGGGAATCAGCGGGTAGTTGGAAACTTTAATGCCGTGCTGCATCGCCAAGTAAAGCGAAGTAGGCGTTTTACCGCTGCGGCTGACACCAATCAAGATCACCTCGGATTGCTCCAAATCCTTATGGCTTTGCCCATCGTCATGCGCCAGACTGAAGTTGATCGCCTCAATACGATTTTGATAAACACTGTCATGACTGATGTCACTAAACCGGCCGACACGGTCCAGGGGCTTAATACCCAACTCTTGCTCCATAGGGGATGCAAAGGTGCTGATCAAGTCTAACAACAAGGCCTGACAGCCTTGTCGCAACACAGCGAGCACCTCCTTATCAATGACCGTAGTAAAAACAATAGGGCGCTGGCCTTCCGTATCCACGCTCTGATTGATTTTGATAACGGCGTGCTCGGCCTTTTCTCTATTATCGATAAAAGGCAATCTGACATAGCGCGGCGTAATATCAAACTGCGCCAAAATCGCATGCCCCAGCGTCTCGGCTGTGATGCCTGTACCATCAGATACAAAATATATGGTGCGTTGAATGGAGGGCTGTATGGACATGAACCTGACCTAAAGCGAATATAAGGAGCCCTAAGTTTAGCCTTTTGAAGTGCGTTTCGGCATACTTTTTTCGCTGTGATTTTTAGGTTCAATCCGCTTGACCTCCAGCTGCAAGCGTCCATCTTGCAAAAGGGCCACCACACCATCGCTCAAACGCACTTGCGCCACACTACTGATCATCTGTCCCCGTGCATCATAGAGTTGCGCCCCCTTCTCCTCTATCTGCATTTGACGTGCATGAACGGCAACCAGGCGCTCTTGCAGCTGCTCTAACAGGCGGTGCTGCCCACGGCAATATTGGTCAAGGAGGTGCTCGCTACGCAAGCCCAGCATACTCAATTGATAACGGCTGCTTCGCGCGCCGCGCGCCGCATGTGCAAATAGTTTTTGCACCCTGCAGCGTGCAGGGTGGACAGGCACCGGGGGAGCTCATCGCTGCGTTGCACACCCTGTATGAAAAGCACCAAAGTACGCCCCTGGACTTGATTCTTTTGGTGCGCGGTGGTGGTTCGGCTGAAGATTTGGCCGCTTTTATTGAT